GTACTTCCATTGAAGAATGTGTCCAGCACCAGAAGCTGCGTTGGTTGGGACATGTTTTACGCATGCCGAACCATCGTTTGCCGAAGAGGGTACTGTTTTCCATGCCCAATTCGGAGTGACGTAAACAGAGAGGTGGCCAACCCATGACCTGGCAGAGGAGTATGAAGGAGATCACGAAACGCTTGGGTGCTGTCGGTGCGTGATCCTCACTGTGCCTGGTTGGAGACACTACAAGATATGGCTGCCAACCGATGTCAGTGGCGTTCTTGTTGTCAGTTTCTATTCAGACTGCCTGAGTGAATGTCTGGAGGTGTAGACACCTCGGAATGATTGTGTTAAGCTAGCAAGAAGTCACTCCCCCGTCCACCTTTACTCTTTTCTTTACAATAAGGCTTTCAAATAAATCATGGTTGTACGGCAGTGAAACACTGACGTCATGCTGTCGATGATGATGTGGACACAACAGGAATGATTTTCGTACCGTCACAACAAAATTTAGGCCTTCAGTAAAAGGTGGTGTAGCTTTGACCAAAAAGTATGATGCGGCTGCCTCCTGTACTATTGTGTATAACCAGTGCTTACGGGGTTGAGGTCTGGCAACTACTCTACTACTACTCGAATGAAAGAGGTACAGACCACAACGTAACACAACTCGCAACGGATTAACAGTACTCAAAGGAAAGTGTGCTTCAGTTGGCCAATCACAGTAACAGACATTAGCTGGTCTTTGACAGCTACAGACTCAAGCACTGGTGATATCCCCTACATCGAAGACGAAACGCTTGTAAGCTCGGTGAATGGATCGACAGGCACCTGATCATTCACTAATTATTCGTTAGTACAAAGCCGGTTGACTTATGGGTCAAGAGGGAGACAGTCACATACCTGGAGAAAGAACAGTTTTGGCTTTCCAACAAGCGTAGGGCAACGGTCGCCACGAAAGCAAGAGACAACAGCTTCCACCGAGACGGGACCATCAGTCGCGTAAATCATGCCATTTTCTCCGTGACTCAGAATGAAGCAAACGAAACTATCGGAACTACTGTGGTCAAGCGTTGCAGCTGTCAAGCAGGAAGGGTCAAGCAAGAAACACGCGTTAAAACCAATCAAGAGCAGTACAATACTTGGCATTGTGGATCAATCTGACCGACATATTATCTTAGAGGATGCATAGTTAGCATCCCAAACACGAAAGCAACTTCTGGGTGTAAGAAGTCCTTAGAAGGAGAGGGTACGCAGGCTAATTCTGTTGTGACGAGGTTTATCTGTCATCAGTTCCACCGAGTAACCGAATGGAAATCGTGAATTTCGCTTGGGGGCGAAAGGTAGACTGAAAGTCGGGTAGCACTGGGGGTGCGACGCGTAGCAAATTTCCCTCAAAAATGCCACAGCTGATTTGCCTAACACAGAATGAAGCTTATGCGTCTTAGGAGTTAAGCGCCCAACGTTTTCTAGTAACTGTGGTAAACGCAACCAGACTATGGAATACCACATTGACCAGCGCACCCCGCCGAACAGTAGGTGAGACACGTCAAAACCGGCTGAGGCGTATTTCCATTTGTAAACAAATCCCTTGGGACTTGAAGCATGTGAGTGGTGTGCCAAGTCAGGCTAATTCAGAGTTGTCTTCAGCTGAGCTACATTTATTGTTTATAAATGCGATCGTTGGTAGGATCCGATATTAGGATCAAAAGATGTCACACGATCTCGTTAGCTTCTTTCGGAGCTCATCAGCGTAACATGTATTCATGAATAGAAATATAATCCGTTCAGCTGTAACACCCTTCCGGTGCCTAGCTACCATGCTACCAGAAGCAAGCACGAGGGCTGATACACTGCCAAGGTGCCCAAGCCTAGACAGGGGAAGTCGAGAGGCAGAGGTCGGATTCGAGCCACGGACCTTCTGGTCAGTAAATTCGCGCTCCAACCACTTGAGCCATCTCACCACTGTATTCACGAAACCATTGCCAAGTGAGCATCGTGACATATGGTTATGTGGATAGTCCAGTAGACAGAAAACAATGACAGTTAAAACCGATTCAAAGACCAGGGAACCTCGTTACAAGTTTCTTAAAACTGGAGCCAAAGAACTTGTCCGGTTTCATTGAGGAACACAATTAAGCGCGAGCTGCACTATCAGACTCAATGCGCACAATTTTAGAAAGGCAACACAAAAGCTTTTGGACAACCCAACGAATATCAGCTTGAGCACATTACTAGGAGTCCCTCATTTACTTGTTCAACTACTGGATGGCAAGTGTCAAGAAACATCTGATAACATCCGAAATCGGTAAGGAAAACACAGACAATAATACTCGCGCAGGTATGAGAGCGGAGTGCTTTGCCGGGAGCCCGATGTATTCGTGATTCACAACCTGTGCGTTGAAGCAGTGTGTGAGAGAAACATAGATCAGGCAAACGGATCTAAGGTTCGAATTACCTTCATGAAACAAACGTTGCATCATTGCCCGGTTCACGTTGAAATATCGTTGTACATGATAGCCCAGCCGTTTGAACAGACGCTCCACCCGATCCGCATCTTTGTCTGTCCCATATCGGCAAGCTTGACCAGTCTCCGGAAGGAAGTCCCGTTGATTGATGAGGAAGCATTGTCCCCGATAGATACGTTTAGCCGGATTGATGTCATAGATTGGATAGTATAAATCAGGGTCGTAAACGTTTTGTGTGGATAGCTTCCAAACTACCGTAGGTGGCGAATAGTCTTTGAAACTGAAATTGGAATACGGGCAAAAGTAGCAGTATGACCATGTATGGGTAGTCAGGACCAACCAAATTAGGATGCGGAACGCCTACCCATAAAGCTATAACAATAAAGTACAAAGGACACCGCATACCCAATCAGATTCGTAGTAAATGATGAAGGAAGCACTCAGAATACTTTTCACGGCAAAGGTTCTGCCTGAAAACCCGCACGATAGTAGTGTAATGACGGAATTTTATCGGTTATGGTAAACAAGTCATTTTGATCACCAAGTCCTTGCTAGTTATCGACAGGCACATCAATCAGTTGCTGCTTAAACGAGTCGTCGTAAGTATGTCACCCATAGGCACTGTCTTCTACAAGTGTGAGGCTGGTAGGATGTCGTGCTCAGCACTATACAATGTAAATGGGCAGTTGCTCGGGCGAGAGGTCATCGGGCTTGTGTTCACCTCAAATTCGTTGCAGTATTATAGTCGCTTGCTGATACACCCACAAACAGAAGCCCATTTCCTGAATAGGCGAAGCTGACGACAGGCTTTCTAGGGAATACAAAACGGCCTTGTTGAATGAAGCTTTGTTCCGGAGGATCGTGCCAGATGAGTGAAAATTAACGCCTATAGAAACAATCATCAGGCTTAATAAAAAGCACCAGTACTCTAGTTCCCATATCAACGAAAACGACCGTGTAGAACAACAAGAACTGGAACCTGCACAATCAGACGACAAACGATCGCTGAAAAACTTACAAGTAATCTCGCCGTCGTATCACAGCAGCATCGGATGCCTGAAAAGTCGTAAAATGATTTATAGCGAAGGCACGAGGAGAAACACAGAGCGAATCAGAAAACCAGTAGGTGAACACTACAGTTCATATCTGTTAGAAATAATTCACTTTACTTAAGAAAACTTCGTGGAATGATTTGCTCAATGGGCCAGCACAAAAACCGAGTGGTCTTCGCCGACCACTTTTCAGGGACTTGAGTCAAAACGAGCAACTTTACGAATAACCAGTAGCTTCGAAGGAGGCGCGCATGGAACATCCATAGGGTAATCCTCAATTAGTACACAATCAGCCGCCACCCCTAGCGTCCGGTTGCCAGAAAACTGACGACAGTTCATCCCAACGTTCTCACCGTCGACCGCAAACCACGCTGAACAGTATAGTTGTAGAAATGTGAGTGTACAGAGTCGAAGTGCTCACGAGAACTGCTCGTAGTTGGGAATATTGAAGGACCACGTAAAGCTTCTAAATATTTGGGCAGTGGTACGTGTCCGGACAACAGGGACTGTCCATCACGACGTCAAGTACACACCTCTCTAATCCGAAATACGACAGAAGTGATGGCCTGCGGGATTTTTATTTTCACAACAATGTGGTATCACCAGCCGTACAGGCTATAGGTATGTTATCCGTCAAGATTTATATATATATATATATATATATATATATATATATATATATACCAGGAGACTATTGATGTGGAAATAAACTCAGATATAGACATATGACAATGAAACAGTATGTGTCAAAATAGTCTCCCTTCAAAACATGACCTGGTAAACAAACCTGATCCACTTGAATTGTAGGTGATATTTGGAAAAATTATGTTTTACAACCATAACAGAATGGCCTGTCACTTTGATACTCATACCAGAGCTGAAGGCTGTTTGAACCAATAATCCCATCCAGATGTCCGAAGATTACCTTGTCTTAGGTAGGTCATCGCACGCCCTGCATGGGTACAGTAGGTTACCAATGACTAAACTGCACAGTAGGACAGATTTTTTTCCAACGAGACCCGTACTCAGCAATTCCGGGGACCGACGAAACTGTTTACCATTAAGTCACTGTGGATACAATACTGAGAAACGGCATGATTCAGTCAATCTGAGGTTGAGACATATCGACAGACTGTACCAATGGCTATTTAGCAAACCCGGAGCTGGATTAAGAAATGACCATTCATTTTCAAAAGGTAGTAGAAAACCCAAAATAGGAGAGTGCGGTACCTGCCGTGAAGACGCTTTCTGGCATAGACTTTTCATCTTATTTATCGTACGTGATGAACATACTCAAGAAGTCTTTCAAAAAGGTTGGGGCATTGTGCACGATACTCGAACTACCACTACTAATACTGCTCATACGCGGCTGACCGACCGAACTTTTCGGTTGAATTGCCGTAACAGTTGTAACATAATATAGTTGTGTTTGAAGCTAACTGACACAGGCACGAACGAAAGTGACCGAGGGCGTTGTATATAAAGACGGCCAGCAAGACTTACATGAACATGAGCGTCCTCGACAAACGATTGCTTCATACCAGGGGCTTGGAAAACGTTTCCCATAACCATAAAACGCCTTTCAAACGGGCAGCCGACGAGTAGCAGTCGGAGGCTATCTGTAAAGTTGTAATAGACTGTTATTAACACACCCGTGGTCGGAATCAACAAATCAATCATACAATACATCTTAAGTGTTTTAAATAACGGACAACAGCGAACCGATTGACCTCCACAAGCTTTATGAACACGCTAGTCTGGGTGGGTCAGGTTCAAACCGGCACCTGATCCTCTTAACAGGGAAGGACCGAATCAAGTAAATACCGCAGCGGCGTTGCTAAACACCTGGAGAAGACATCAGCCTAGCATTCAAACGACGAGCACAAAACGTTCCAACTGAAAATTAACTTGTTGGCCTGGTATATTAACTGGTTTGAAATCAGTTCGCGTCAATTATATCTCCTCGAATAGTGATGAACCGTTTACAAACGCCGCTTGAACCCAGGTCATATATATTGAATTGCTCTTTACGGTTCAGGAGCACGAGTAATGCTGAGTCTGCATAATACGGTGGTCACCAGTACTCGAGACTTTACACAGTAATCTGAGCGGTCCATTAACGGTACTTTAAAAGCGGGAACAACGGTTTATTTTGGGTGGGGAACCGGGATGTGTTGCAACGTGAGTGAAGTCGGCGAGGTTTTAATAGAGATTCGCTAGCTTTAGAAAGCACCTCAGGAAGATCACCTTGCGGCACGTTGTTGCACATGATGTTAGCCGTTGTACCTCTGTTTTTGGTGGATCTATGAAAACAGACTAACATATGACTTAAGCCAGTCGCACATGTGAGGTGGATGGTTGCTAATTAGACGGAACCTTAAGGTGTTCCAAGTACCAAATGCCAGTTCATGAATATGGACTTCACAGATTCCCTCATGGTCATCTTGAGCTAATCAACCTGACTGGATCAGAGAGTCGACAAATATCGATGATCACGCATATTACGTACCATCCGCTCGCAATCTTCATCAGATCTCTGTCCGTTGATGTATTTTTGAAGGGCTGCAACTAAGGATCATACCGTTGAGGTACAGTTCACGTAGCAGGTGGACTTTTACTTCTTTAGTTTCGGAAGACTATCTACTGGGATAAGATTAGCCGTCTTCGGAAATTTCTCGGATGAACACCACCCAGGCGACAAGCGTACATGGTCAACAAATCTCAGCATTGTGTAGACGTAAAACACTACTCTTCAACAGCTCACGATCGGTTTGCCCCTCTTGGGGCTCATTAGATAATGGCAGTCCTCAAGTTTTCGTAACCCTTATTTTCTACTTGAACCAAAACTGCACGAAATTGGCGACATGTACTCATTTGCATACAGATTTGGTTTTGATGGCAGACTCAGTACCGACTCAGTGAATGCGGAGACCAAATGGAACATCAAACTGTACTCCAAATCCAGTTTTCTGGCGCGTTCGTCGAAGTCTGCGAAAAGAAAACAATATTTTGCAAAGCGCTCTATCAAGATGAACACAACTTATTCGCTAATGCCTTGGAATTGCGGTCAGTAGACTGAGTAGAAATGGCAAATGAGTCCCATGTGGCGCTACTTCGGTGATTCGTTCTGAACAGCCGTCCAAGTTTGATTGCAAAACGTTGACTTTTAGCTGACATCCTATTGAGCACTGCGGTTCACGGTGACTCCCACAATCGGAGTTGAAAGCACTGGAACTCCAGAGCAGCTCAGCTGGTGCACAGCCTCTTAGGATGGAGTTCGTTGTTAGAGATAAACTACTCAGCATGTGCTGAAGTAGACTTCTTGATGAACAAAATGGTGGTTGCTCTCTAGGTATTCTGACGCTGAAAACGACCGGTTGGAACGAACAACTCACACCGAAACAGTCTTCTTCCTTCAGTGATAGTTCGCATATTCTGATCGTTTTAACATACTGGCCATAAGTTTCCTTAGTGAAGTCTGAGGACAGGCTTATCGCCATCCTATTGCGAAGTTTTTACAATGTTTGTGTGAATTCTGACCACGGATTCGCCCATATTCGCTTGTTCTAGCTTTCCACGGTCGCAAGAAGAGCGGACAGTTCGATTAGCAAGTTAACAGTTGCCAGCTCCCGAACTAAAAAGAATTTATCGGTACCGCCTTCCGGACTCTTCTAAATACTCCACTACGGTATGTCGATTCGCAGTGGAACGGGGTCGCCACATCCTATAGCACTGCGCAACTAGGGACGCTCAAAACCTGGACACTAGATACATCATCATCATCATCAACGACAGCATGACATCAGTGCTCAACACCAATGCTTCACTGCCGTACAGCCATGACTTATTTCAAAGCCTTATTGTAAACAAAAGAATAAAGGTGGTTGGGGGAGGGACTTAGTGCTAGCTTAACACAATCATTCCGAGGTGCCTACACCTCCAGACATTCACTCAGGCAATCTGGACAGAAACTGACAACAAGAACGCCACTGACATCGGTTGGCAGCCATATATTGTAGTGTCTCCAACC